AAGTCTCGAAGCGTTCTCCGTGACGAGGTGGCTTCGAGCCTTGGCGTAGCTACTCATCTCGCCGGGAAGGGCGGGTACGATCCCCCGTGCTCGTGTACGGGATGCTCCTGCCTATGTGTGCACCCCCTGTGCGTTTGTACGGGGTCGTGTATACGCGCGTATATAGGGGCTGCTGCCCGATTGGCTGTCGGAGTTGCCTATCTCCCCTGACCGTAGCCATACTAGCTGGAATCACGGGTCGTTCTTCAACACGCTCGACGTGCTTCTAGGAGTGGGTGGGTGGACGGGGGTGCCTAACACACGTACAGAAACTTCCTAAACGGCCGCGAGTCGGCGTAGCTATGACGTCGACATGGGGGTGGCGAGGGCCTCGAACGTCTCGCGTTCCCGATTTTTTTGCTTTCGAGTCGAGGCGGCTCGAATTGTCGAGTGATTCACTTCGTCGACTTTTGCTTCTTCGATTTTTTTTTTTTTTTTTGAAAGTCTCGTTCGTGTAATCGTTTGAGTCTAAATTTATAATAATTTTTTTTTTTTTGAGTATAATGTAAATGATAATGTATGTTTTATATCGTAGTTAGAAATAAGTCATAAAATTGTATATAATTCTAATAATCGTGGAATTTTATCGTTGAATGTAGCATGTGATGATCCGTGCTTTAGAAAGAAATTGCATCGAAGGTTTAAACTATTATATTCCCTCAGAATAATTTCGAATATCGAAAATCGAAAAAAATCGTGTATTTATATTTAATTTTTTATAATAATTCGTATTCTGGACACATTATCTTGTGATCAAGTCAGATTGTTCGACTTTGGTGACGAGGGGTAGGATTATAACCATCGCTAGATGCGGCTTTAGTCAGGCTATTGCACGATGTACACCACTTCTTCGATGTGGCTGGTACGTTGGCCTGAAATAGAGGGAGGAGGGGAGGGAGGAGGGGGTGTGGAGTGGAATGGGCGAAGGGGGGAGTGAGAGGAAGGTGACAGGAGGATAGGTGGGGAATTCCAACGGGCGACTAGACAGCCCGGGGACTTGCTGGCCGAGTGGCTGACGCGACTATAGTGGGGTAGTGCTAGTTAGCCACGGGAAATGCGGGGGCGGCTCCAAAGGCCACGTTGTCAGACGAACGTTACCACCGTGTCATTGGTCGACTCCACCCCTGAGACAGCACAGGGGTGCAGATCTATGTAGCAAGGGT